GAAGCGAAATCGGAGGATGACGTAATCGAAACAATTCTGAGGTGGACAAGATTTCAAAGCAATGAAGCGAATCGAGGATCGGTTACGGGTGTGGATTCAACGATTCTAACCTCAAAAGTTATGAAGGAAATGCTGCCAGAGCTCCTTAAGTCTGCTAGAGTGTGTCTTGTCAATGGCACTTTTCTCCATACCCTTTTAGATGACGACTGTGTTTTAAACAGTCCGGCCGCCTTTGCTATTGCGCGTGAAGCTCTGATGTATCAGCTCCAACCAGGGAGACGTCATGACTACTGTCCACCTTACGCCATGCACAGAAGCTTGAGTCCACTACAGAACGTCACAGTCGTTGTCAGCTTGGGTGTCAATGGAGCCTACAAAATGTCCTGTCGAACTCATGACGGAATCTGGTATGTGATGACCCAGCCCCCACAGTATAAAGTGAGTGCAGTTACATTTGGCAGTGACATTTATACGGTTGCTACATGTGGAAGATTTCAGCTCACCCAGAGATACATCTTGACTAACTGTTCTTGGATTAACCTGTCCAACCTACAAATGCTGAGAGCAGGGTGCGCACTTGTATGCGTGGACAATTATGTCTACGTCATTGGTGGGACCAATAACAAATCTATAGACCGATTCAATGCCCAAGTAGAACAGCGAGTTAACAATTCTGTAACGTGGGAAAAAGTTGGTGACCTACAGTGGGAAGTGACCAACTTTATGGCTACAGCCATTGGAAAGTACATCGTGGTGTTTGGAAAGAAAATTAACAGCACTCTGACCAGTGTCCAAAGCTTTAATACGTCAGCTATGACCACACACGCCTACACTAACGACATCATGGGCGAGAATACTCCCATGGCCAGTTTCAAGAATGGTAAGGACACTTTTGTTCTTCTAGAGACGGGAGACTTGTGGAAGGTGGTCAACTGCGACAACCAAGACTTGAAAATGGAGTTCCGAGGGAAGTTGTTTGATGATAAGTTGTCACTTCACGGAGCGGTAGTCTTTAACAGAGAACTCCTTATCCTGGCCACAGGGATTAACTCACAGAGGCCCAAGGAGTTTAGCACCATGAAAATAGACAATGTCTCCACTGTTAAAATCATTGAACGCGACTGTGTGTGTCTTCTCAACACTGTCATTGCGAAAAATTTCCTTACACAAAAGGAGGTATAATTAAGAATATTTAGACAGAGATGAGGTGAAATAGTTGCATGAGAATCTGCTTACAATTTTTTTTTTGTATTTTCACCTTAGTAGCACACATCGGTCTGCAGTGAGTTAACACATTGTGTATTTACCGACTTTCTATCTGTTCTTCTGATCTTTGTTTCCATTTACTTTTTTATAGGTAGGATATATAGTCATATATTATTAACAAAATTATTTGAATGGGCGGGTGGATGGCTGTGCGGTCTAAACTGCGAACGATTCCAAACTTGTCGTATAGAGTTCAATCCTTAGAAAACCTTGACAAGCGACAACAAACAGCACCAGCGGCCCGGGACCGAGTCCGTGGGACTCATTAAACTTCGATGGGAATTTATCCAAGAGAAGGTAAAAATCTGAATCTAAGCCATTGATGCCCAGCTGTATCCATTGGAATGGGCGGAGGGAGAGAGGAGATTTTCCCACCGATTTTTCCCAGGTCTTGTCTACACCATCGTCTCATTGTGATGGACGGATGCAAAAAAAAAAAAAAGATTTAAATTCAGGGAGAAAAAAAATCCTTTGTTTTCATGAAACGTCTTCATTTTATTTAGTCTTTTGCTGAAAGCTTATCCATACAGCTTTATTTAATCACATTTTTTGGTGACTTATTAATTTCTTCACGCTTAATCGCAGTCGACCTCCTTGTATATATATATATATATAATTTTTTTTTTTGTAAATTCAGGTAACATATACCTAAGTGTCTGAGGTACTATTTCGTCAAGTTGTATTTATTTGTTCATTTATTTCAAGATTAAATGTGTTTTAATTTGAAAGAAAATATAATATGTTTCATTTGGATTTATCAATAACTGTTACGGGGGGCGGGGGGGGGGAGCCAAAGTGCTTCACTGGCAATTTAGATGATTGTTAACTTTTATCTGGCCACAATCATGTTACTCCTATTAATTAACATAAAATATAATATGAACCCTCTAAAGAATTATCTGTTTTTTTTTCCATAATGTAATATAATACTAAAATATAATTTAGATTATAATATGTGATAATATTCAATTAATTTAATAAATAATTTATATATTAAAATAAAATTCAATGTAACTGAACTAAACAGACATTGCTTTTAAAAAAAAAACTGTAACATGTATCTATGTATTTTGAATGAAGAAGATGTCTTTGTGTAATAAATATGTCCAGCACGCGCAAGGTCGCATACTTAAACGGTTCAGTGCGCAAGGTAGGAATGCTTATTTTCTTAAGCATGTAAGATTGTCACTTGCATTTTAATTTTATATGCTTATTACTTTCTATGAAATTATACTAATTGTACAAAATATTGCTTGTAAATTGTGTCGGCAATAACAAAGGGCAGCGATCTCTTTTTTTAAAAAGGTACCAAAACATTTTTCGGTTGGGGATAGTGGACCTTGTCTGTGAGGTGCAATTTATAGTGATTGACATCGTCAAGGTTTGCTGATAAAAATAAGTTAACAGTTAATATAAATATACATATATTGTCTTATTGTACTCATGAGGCCCATTACACGTCTAAAGTAGGCCTATGTCCTCAAGTCCTCTTGAAATCGTGCAATAAATTACAATTATTTTCGTTTTTGACTTCTTGGAAATTATACGTCAGTCGTAGGTTGACTAAAACATAAAATTAATATCCTTATTTTTTTTTTTAAAGAAGAAGAAAGTGGAAAAAGGGGGGGGGGGGTATTTTTTTTAATTTGAAGTCCGTGTGAGTCTTAAATTATAATAATAATCGTTATTAGGTAGCAGTTTCGATATCACCACTCCAACTACGTGTAAAGGTAACTAGACGTTAAGATCCGGCTTTTACCTTTACAATTTGGAACAAGCATCTCAATGATGGTGATTGTGAGCAAAAACAGCTATGGGGTAATAATTTGCAGTGTTACACGTTGCAGGAATTGTCACAGGTAAGCCTACTTTTTAATTTTACTTTGTTCATTTAGGCCTACATTATTCATGAACTAATCAATGAATTTTTTTCTTAATTTAGTTAACAGTTGTGAAGTGTCTGGCTCACATTTATTATCTATGAATCTTTACATAACTTACGTCAAAGAAATAGGTGGGGGGGGGGGGGGGCGGGGGTTTTGGAAAATGGGGGGGGGGGGGGGGGGGGGGAGAGCGGGGGTTTTGGAAAAAGTTTGATAAATGTTGGGGTAATAAGGGGAGAGACTGCAATCAGGTTAGTACAAAATAAAATGAGTAACACAGAGTAGGGTTAAACCTGAAAAAATAAACGCAACAAAACAGCGAACGTGTCGGCAGAAAGCCTTCGCCAGCGAACAAAACAACAGAAAAAACGGTATAAAAATTTTAAAAAAGAAATAGCACTTAGCTGGTAAGTAGTATCTGTGGGCAGTAATAGAAGGCCACATTCTGGCTGATAGAGATAGCGCTGCTGTTCCAACTCAGGTGCGCTCATGCGCGCGAACGATGCACACGTGATGTTCATGCGAATAAAAAAATAAAGGCGAGCAGTAAGTTTATTAAAATAAAAAATTAAAAGTTTTAAACTTTTTTTTTTCATATTTCCCGTTCATTTTGCAAATAATTATATTATAATATTTGTCCAACACATCCTTCAATGTGCCACAGTATGTATATTATTTTTAATGAAGTTCATTCTAAATTCAATTTGCACTACTTTTTTGTTGTTATGACTGTACGCAATGCAATGCCTTCCCCTATTTTGGTCTGATTTTTTAAAAATTAACTTTCAATTCGAATTAGTGATCTCAAATCTTAACTCGAAATAAACGATTTATTTAACACAACCATGTCAACAAAGGACACCTATTGCTAGGGGTTTTCTTTAAGTTTTGTCAAGCTCGGTTTGGGGGAGTGGGGGTTCTAAGAAAGTTTGACAGTTTTGTGACACTAGGAGGTGGGTTAGATCAGTGTTCCCCAAATGGTGGTCCGTGGACCTTTACCGGTCCGCATGCCTAGCACTGCCGGTCCCCATGACATACATATTTATTGTCAAATAGAAATGAAAGTATAAAAATAAATCCTGCACCGGTCCCTGGTAAAATTTCGAAACTTGTTCACCGGTCCGCCACTGGGAACCACTGGGTTAGATCATATGTGACACAATTATATAATTTGTAATCATACATATAGCAACTTTCCGTTGTGCTGGATGTATTATGACAGAAGAGGTATCTTAGCGGTGTCTAATTTTAATAGTGAACTGCGTGTATAGTTCACACAATATCAATGTATCAATATATCGTTTATTATGTGTGTGGTTGACATAGTTTCCGCTCTTAGCCACAGGCGCCTTCGCTGGGTTAGGCCATGTAAGGATAATAGAGGAAGGTCTTATCCAAAGAAGTTGCCGTGTGGAGAGTTGGCAGAAGTGACAAGACTTATTGGACGAACACGACTGTGATTTGTGGACGTTTTCAATAGGAACACGAGGGTAACCAACATAGAAATCAACGAATGGGATATCTTTGCTGAGCAACGTTCCACCTGGCGATCAACAGTGTATGAAGGAGTCAACAACAAAAAACAGAAGATGTGCGAAACGAAGACCATGCGACAAAAAGAACAATACGGAAGACAAAATCTAACCAGGAGTCAAGATTCTCCTGCGAGAAATGCAGCCGACATTATCATTCCAGGATTGGCTTAGTGAACCATTGTTGAAGTGTACAAAGCTACTCCATCGTCTCGCCAAGGCGGCCATATATTATTGTAATTAATAAATGTGGAGACGTGACCCGAGAAGAGTTGACGCGTGATCAAGGGGCCTGTGAAGCCATGTGGTTTGCGCTTCCCCCCCCCCCCTTGCTGTGGTCTGTATGATTGCATCTATACACATTGTTTAACCCTTGCCGTGGTCTGTATGACTGTGTCTTTACACAGTGCTAAACCCCTTAATGTGGTCTGTATGACTGTATGTGTATTTTTCAATGTTTCGAATGTGGTGGTCCTTTTATTGATCTACCAGATGATCACGCAGACATCTTAACTCCCAGGTGGTTGCTTCTCTCCCAAGACTTCTATTCAGGCCTTGTCATTCTAGTTAAATTCCTAAATAAATATGTTTTCTCAAGATGTTGGAATTTTTTTTTTTTTTTTTTTGCTATTTGTATTTTATTTTTTTAGGGGGCGGGGGAGGAGAGTGGGGGGGGGGGGGTGGGACTGTTGCAACTACTTTCGGGTAAATAAAAAAATTTTTGCTATTTGTATTTTATTTTTTTAGGGGGCGGGGGAGGAGAGTGGGGGGGGGGGGCTGGGACTGCTGCAACTACTTTCGGGTAAATAAAAAAATAATGAAATGCCTTTTGTAGATAACTGCTGTGATCAATAATGATAATATCAACTAAGAACAATTACCGAAGCTAATTTAACAACCTCTAAATCTAGGTTGTTCGTATAAATCCTTTACAAGCATTTTGTTATATTAATATCATAACGCCCCATCCACTTTTGCATCGACGATTTATTACACCAAGAAATTCCGTTAATTTTTTTTTTTTGTAATCTTGTTAGTAAACCTTGCAAAACTTCAACTTCATGGGGTTTTTTTTTCTTCAGATCTCGTGGGAAATGTGTTAGTTAGTGAGTGGGATTTTGGCTTTATATAAAAGATACTGAGAAATGGCCAAGGGCTTTGATTGACATTACTTTTTTCTATTTAAAGAAATAATTCTGTCGAAATCAGCAGAAAAATTTAATTTAAATTTTAAAGATAGGAGAGTCTACAGCAATTTGTGATATTTAACTTTTGATACGTGGTTTAAGAAAGTAAATAATTATAATTGTTGGATTAGCATCAATTACAAAAAAAAATAGCACATGTTCAAAAGGCAGTGCAGAATGAACACACAAAAACTTGACATCAAAACAATAAACCAGAAATATGTGCACGAAACAAATCATGGCTACCATATATGTTTCGGCCTTTGGTCATTTTAGGTAACTTAATGGCCGAATTTTTTAAAAAAATAAAAGAAAAAAGAATATATGGCAGTCGGCGTCAAAAGCTCGGCCCGCCCCATGTGGCACTCACCCCCAGCAATGCCACAGTATAAGGGTGATGATTCACTTTGCGACGAAAATGCCACGTTGAAAGTAGGCCTATGTCCTCAAGTCCTTTTGAATTCTTGGGAGCATTGAATAAATGCTACTTCCTTTCATTTTACCTTCTGCTATGTAGGCCTATTAATTTGCCAATTGAGGGTTGAATATAAAAATAACATAAGTATCTTTATTTACAATAAGATTTTATTATTTTTTTTAAATTAAATTTAACGTCCGTAATAAGATTCTGTTATGAGTATAATATTTTTTATAATCGATATCAGAGATCAGTTTCAGTATCAAGACTCCATCTACGTGTAAAAGAAACTTAAAGCTAAGATCGGGGTTTTCCCTTCAAAGTAGAACTAGCAATATTGGAAAAAAGGTGAGCCACATAGCAATCCAGCCCCTTTTTACAGTGTTACACGTTGAAGGTGTTATCAAAGGTAGGCCCACTTTTTAATTGTACTTTCATTCCAGGCCTACATCGTTCATGAACTAATCCATGTATTTTTTTAACAGTTTTAGCGCGCCACTGTTTTAAGTGTCGGCCCACATATTTGTTATCAAACATCACAGACTGATTTAGAGATTTAGATTTTATTATCAGCCAGCGAATATCGAAATTAAGGATCCTTAAAAAAAATACGTCGCGCAAGAAAAAAAAATAACGTGTTATATTTGCACTTATTAAAAAATTACATTGATATTAACTTTTGTAAATATTTTTTCCCAATGGGTTCCCGTACCCGATGGGATCGCTTTCCCAGTGGGTTCACGTTCTGTATTTCTCTCAGACATCTATTTAAGGGGGGGGGGGCAGTGAGCCCTTAGAGAATGATAAATGACTTCCCATGGTAAAATGTGTACAAAAATAAAACGAAAAAAAAAATTTAATCACATTTTTTTTTTTGTTATGATTTTAAAATGAATAGTAACAGGTGCCATTCACCAATTACAATTTTTGTAATCTAAAAAACATGGTTGTAAAAAACGCAACGGTTCTCCCTTTGGGGCTCGAACGAACCTTACACAAGGTTTTTTTAGAAGAGAATCCAGTAGAAGGCTAAAAAACAAAAACAAAAACAACAAAAAATCGTTATGTGGAAAAGACATTTCGAAAATAATGGCAATCCATTTTAAACAATTTTAATACTAATTATAGGAAAAATTATTCTTCCACAAATTGTTTATTTAAATAAATTCTATGGTTTTGTTAAAAAAACAATTTTGATATGATGCGTCCCTCGAAGGCATTTACAAAAAAAAAAAAAACACTTTGTTTTAAAGTTATTTAGTTGAATTTTACTGAATTTCGTGTACCGTTATCATTATTTAAATATTTTTTTATCAAATTTTATTCTTATTTTCAATTTTTTTAAAAGTCCTTGACTTTAGTCATGTATTGCTAAAATTAAAATGCGAATTTACCGATTTAAATAGAGAAATGTTTATCGAAATGTAAAAATTGGGCATAATATACTTGCGGCCCCAATAGTTTACATTTATTGTCAATGTGGCCCTCCGCACAAAACGTTTGTGTTAAGTGTAACCATGATGCAATTTGTCATTTATCTGCAGAAAGTTATAGTAGTTTGAAATTCCAATAAATAGTCACATGAATTTCAGGAACTTTATTTTGACACATTTTCCTTCATATAAATGAAACCTTAATAAATAGTTTATGTCCTTTGTCAACACCTCATGTCCTCTTAACATATGTTTGCCATTCTTATACGATATATAAAATTGACCAATTCTAAAAACCCATTCAAATGTATCAACAAAACTGTGTTTTTTTTCTCTTTGACTCTGATAAAACTTTATAATATCTTGAAATGGTAGTTATTACCAGTTATTTTTGTTTAGTTTACGTTCAGCGTGTGAAATGATGCTAGCAGTGCTTTTTGTCGTGATGGAAATCGTTTTTGGAAGGACTTTGTGGAAAATTAATTAACTATTTAAGAATTTTCCCCAGAAATAGATTAAATAAAAATTACAGACCACTGGTGGCAGAGCTAGTAGCTTAAGCGGGTGGTGCCAGGGGACAATATTCATTGTCACGCCCCCCCCCCCTAACCCAACTCGTAAACCCATTATTTATATCTATTAAATACCACCTAACCCAAGTATGCTCCCCCCCCCCCCGCTAGTATGGAAAATGGAGTTCCGAGGGAATCTGTCCCCTCTCCCCCACTCTCAGCTTCGCATCTGGGCATTGACACTGCCCCACCACCCCGAAAATCAGAAATGAACCCGCCCCCCATACTTGGATGAAATTATCTGAAAGAAAACTAATCACATACTAAGTGGTGTCCTTTTACCCAGTGGGATGATGAAGGATATGTTTACCAACTTTTCATCATGCTTTGTTCTAAGCCCTTAACTTCATTTATAATAGCTTAAGTCATAATAAGAGACAAGTCATTTGTAACGTTCTAAAAACTACAAATTTATCTGTTACTCTTACTCCATACAGCGCGAAGAAAGTCATTGAAAGTAGAGACCGACCGAATTTCGGCTTCGGCTTCGGTTTCGGCGCCGAAAGTGGCCATTTTATCACTTTCGGCCAAGTTTCGGTTTCGGCCGAAACTGATAAGTTAACTTTCGGTTTTTCTTCGGTTTCGGCCGAAACTGAAAATTTAACTTTCGGTTTTTCTTCGGTTTCGGCCGAAATTGACTTAGACTTTCGGCCGATGGCCGAAAGTGACTCAGGTTTTCGGTCAATTAAAACTCAGCAAAAGCTATATTTAACTACAAACTAAGCGACATTTAAGAACAAATTAAGCGATCTTTGTGAACAAACTAAACGATATTTAACAACAAACTAAACGACATTTATGAACAAACTAAACGATCTTTAAAACAAACTAAGTGATCTTTAAAAGCTATCTAAGCGATCTTTAATAACAAACTAAACGATCTACAAACTAAACTATTTTTAAGACTGAACTAAATAATCTTTAAGAACAAAACAAATGATCTTTAATAGTAAACTAAATGATTTATAAGAATAAAATAAGCGATCTTTAACAGAAAACTAAATTTTCTTTAGGAACAAACTAAAAGATCTTTAACAACGAACTGAGCGATCTTTAACAACAAACTAAACGATCTTTAACAACAAACTAAGTGATCTTTAAGAACAAATTAAACGATCTTTAACAACAAACTAAGCGATCTTTAAGAACAAACTAAACGATCTTTAACAACAAACTAAGCGATCTTTAAGAACAAACTAAACGATCTTTAACAACAAACTAAACGATCTTTGACAACAAACTAAGCGATCTTTAACAACAAACTAAACGATCTTTAACAATAAACTAAGCGATCTTTAACAACAAACTAAACGATCTTTAACAACAAACTAAACGTTCTTTAACAACAAACTAAGCGAACTTTAAGAACAAACTAAACGATCTTTAACAACAAACTAAACGATCTTTGACAACAAACTAAGCGATCTTTAAGAACAAACTAAACGATCTTTTACAACAAACTAAGCAATCTTTCAGAGCAAATTAAGCGATCTTTAAGATTAAACTTTGCGATATTTTAGAACAAACTAAGCGATTTGTATGAACAAACTCACAGATCTTTAAGAACAAACTAACCGATCAATAACAACCAACTAAACGATCTTTAAAAACAAATTAAGCGATCTTTTAGAACCACAATTTTTAGAGACCTGGTTTAAAAAAATTATATTTTGCATTAATTCCCCCCCCCCCCCCCAATTTTTTCCAAA